ACACTTTCTTTTCCGATTCTTCTGTTGCTGTGGCAGGGGGTGGAAAAAGATGGGTATTTTTATTGAAATGTGATTCGCGATGTTAGAGAATCTATGAATTCATTAATTTCCTCGCTGGATAATAAGATGGAATAAATGATGTGCGGCTGTGAATGCTTAATTTTCCAAGTGGTGGAGTGTCTGACGTGTATCATCGAAAAGTGCGGGGACTTCTAATCAATTTGCACCGCGGGAAAAAGGAGTGAAGCGTCTGCAGATGGGAGAAAACTCCGGTGGCATCACAATAAACTCCGGAGGAATATCAACAAATCCCCATTCTCAGACAATAGAGCTCTTAATTAAGACTTCTTTCACTTCCTCAACGTCGCACGTCGAAAACCACAGAGAGAGAGTGGTGGAATTGCCTCTTGTGAAAATTCACAAGGAGGCGAACTCACCCCATGCGATTTCACGTGTTCTCCAGACACCTTCCAGTGCTTTTAAGAGATTTTCATTTCCCCAAAAGATGTTTTGGGCTGAATCAAGTTCACCCTCGCAACTAAAAATATATACCGTCGCGGTAGAGTAAACAGAAACTTTACACTCACGGAAACCACCCCACCGCACACATCCACCCAGCGCCCCATCAAACGTCTTACAGTCGCACGGAGGGTGGCGGAAAAAAATCTTATCTGATGGTCCGCGGCAATGGCACTCGTCTTGGCAATTACAATTGCAGACACAATTCAAATGAAAATTAATAACACGAGAATTATGGGAGAGCAGAACATCATGATTAGAATTTCTTTTCATATCTTCAAAACAATATTGCCCATTGAGTGGCGAGGGTGAGCCAAAATGGGGTGGGATAAGGTAGGAAATTTAGCTAACTTTATTACTTTTTATTTTGATTGCTCCCCATTATTTATTCTTTCATTTCTCCCAGCTCGTCTCGCGCGGCTAGCACAGCATTTGTGCAGGAATCTGGTGAAGAAATTCCTGCATACGCTTTAGCAATCACTGAGGGTTGTTTAGTTGGAATTTAGCACCCCCGGGAAAAAAAATGCAAAATTATGGTGAATAAAAATGCGAAATCTGTTTTTCTCCTTTTTCCAAAATTGACTCTCTTCCCTGCTTCATCATCTCCTCTCCTTCGAGAGATCCTGAGAAAGACGGCGAGCCAACCTGACTTAGAGATTTCATGGGGCGGTGGCATCCCTTTCGATTCTTATCAAAGTGCCACAAGAGGCAGATTTATGCGTGACTTTTGGGAGCACTTCGACTATTTGCACTCTCGAAGGCATCCAAGCCGATAAATCCGAAAATGAATAAATCACTCGTGAATGTCATAAATTATTTTATGATATATGTTAGTTGTTCTTTTCCCATCCGCTACATAAATTACTATTGGTGGATTTATTCGAAACTTCCATCGTCAGACATGAAAATTCAACTTACACTGGAATTCTTGAATGATTCTTGGCAGAGTTGCGGAATACGTTTTTTTTTATATTCTTTCAGGTTTGACTCACACTTCTGGTCACTTCTCTTTCCAATGGCACTGAGATTTTGTGGAAAGCATAATGTCAAATCGATGGAAATCTCCATATAAATGTATCAATTTGCAAAGCCAGAAACATGGAAATTTTATTAGCATACAAATTTTGCGCTATGTCGAATACAGAAAAATCACCAAATAAAATATTTTATTCATTCGTGGAAGTGGAAAAGAAGCAGGAAAAGTGAAATAGAAAACTGGCAAGGAGTCAGAAATCAATCAGTTGGTGGCCATAAAATTGTATATTTGAATGTGGCCCTCCTGAAAATGCCGAAAAGCCAGAGGCCATTTCCATAAGGAGTCACACACATATCGAAAATATTACATTTGCCCCATTCGTCTCGCTTTCCCTCTGCCACGGCATATTTGGAGCAGAGAGGAAAGAAGTGGGCAAAAAATAACTTGCAAATATTCGAGAAATGTTTACTCGTCTCCAACTGAACGGAATATTTTCCATCATGATCATCATCATCAGGAGCTATGAATATAAATTTTGATTACTTTATTTTCCAAAAGTTTGACTTACACTCTTCACGTTGTTATTTATATGCGAATTTATTGGTCTTTTCCTTTCAAATGCACACCCACCCTCGTCGTGCCTTCGCTCCTCGAGTCCATTCCGCAGTCGCTGCCCAAGAGGCTCATCACTAAGCGAGTGAGCTGATTACACGGCGCAAAGATGAATATTTTATGCTCCAGCAGCGAGTGATTTGCAACCTCTTTCGGCTCCTCAAGTGAAATATTAAGCAGCCAATATTTGAGAATATCTCCAAAGGAGTCAATCACACAGCAACATCATCTTATTAAAATACCCGAGACTCTTTAGAAACTTCCAGACTCCCAGTTAAAGAATCTTCAAGTTGAGTGGGCAAATTGGCTCAGTGCGGCGCCAACAAATGTGACAAAAATATTTAATTAAAATCGAGACAATGGACACTTTTTCCATCCAACCTCTTTCTTCCTGTGTCGCACGCGCCCCTGCAAAAGAATTGCGCCAAAAATTGCTTAAAAGTTTATTATTTGCCACGCCGTGTCTCTCTTTCTCCAAAATCAAATTAATGACTGAAATTAATTACCAAGTCTCACGACACATTCTGTCACTTTTTCGCGGGGACTGCAGAGCATAATGCCCCTCAGAGCTGGGAGGATTGACTAATGAAAAATCCATTCCCTTTCAATTTTAACACACAGTTCTCATTATGCTGGCCTTTTTGTGTCAACTCTCGGTCATTGAAGGAGGGAAAAAGCTTTCAGCTGAGGAGTCTTTTTTGTGTGTGCGCCTCGCCTTCGCAAATTTATTTATTAAGAAAAGCCACACTCTAATTTCCATGCTGTGGATCTCGGCGAGCACGCAGACCAAACAGTTGGTACACAAATTAATAGGAAAAAAGAGAGACTAATTAATTGATTAGCCAAATGACTTGAAATCTGAACAGGGGAATTCAATTTTATGTTTTTGTACTCCAAAGCATTTGGATGGCAAATAAAATCGCATAATTGCAGGGATTTGAAAGGGGCGTTCAGCATTCCGAACACAATAAGCAGGACCAGAAGTTGAAACATATCTGACGCAGTTCCCCACTTTTGGCCATCCTGATTTTACATGTGCTCCACAAGTGTATTGAGAGTCTCTAATTCTTCAATATCTGCTCGTGATTTCACAAAAGACACTCCAGAAACCAGGAACAATGATTGGTGATGAACAATCGTTTCACTGGGCTGTAAAAGTCGGCGCCGCAACACATCCAGAGCGTCATAATCAAATCACATGCCGTTCCCCTGATAAACCATCATTCGCATCGCATGTTGAGGGCACCTTTGTTGGGAAAATTGGTGGGATTTCGGGTGGGAAAAGGGGTGGCTCGAATTTGGAGTCACTCGCTGAAGGAATTTGCCAAATGTCACTCATGTCTACAAATACCACATTGACGCTCCATATTCCCATGAATGCCACACGAGTGGTGTTTTATTGAAATACGATGGTAATTACAATTTGTGATCGGCCGGGGTTGAGAACTTCACTGGCTGTGTGTGTGTGTGCACTATCGCTGGCAATCGGGGAGGAAATCACGTCAATTTCTTTGGAAAATTTGTGGGTGCCAGCGGAAATTGTCGAGATTTTCATCACCCTCGAATGGCCATTTATCTTGTCGAGGGTGTGGAGAAAAAAATCGCCACTGACCGATTTATTCCAAGTGGGTTCCTGCTTACAATTTGTCGCGCTTTGGGGAACAACATCGACGGTATCTGGGAGAGAACATAAATATTTTGTCTATCGACACGTAATGGATACGTGACCTCAGCATTCAATCACCCTCCGTCGCTGGTGAGCGCTGGAAATTGCCGTACAACTCGGGTGGCCTTTTTTGCGACGTGGCACTGTGGTATAAAAAAGGACAAGCAGGGACTGTATGCCTGGGATGTACCATCGAGCACTAAAGCATGAGGCGGTCTCAACGCTGGCTCAGAGGTTCGACGCGCTGCAGAAAGGCCGGCGTCTGCGCGGTCCGGCGCTCGGGCGAACCCCTACTTTGAGGGGTGGCTTGAGGGTGTGTGGGTGCAGAAGTACGCCGTGTTTTCCTCGGGTTCTCCCAACAAAGCAGGTCCACAGCACGTGCAACCGCACCAATACAGCCGCGTCAGCCCCACTTTTTCCACCGTTTTTCACAACAACACCGAAGGGGTGACATCCACCCTCCCCCGGACGAAAGTAAGATACACTTTGGCTGCAGTTTCGCCAGAGTTATACAAGTTTCGTAAAAGTCTGATGTAGTTTGGTGCCAGTTAGCAGCGAACGTAGTACAGGTGGAGACCGAAGTTTAATTTCTGCGTCCCCATAAGAAAGTGTTTTCGGGGTGAAGAGTTGGACGAAAGTTGGGTACTAAGGGTAGAGTAAAAAAAAGTTTCGCGATTTATTTTCAAGTTGTTGTTCGCCTATACTGGGAAAATGATGATCAAAATATTGGAAACTTTGTTGAAAACTTTTGAATTAACTTCCCCTTGTCTTTAACTTCTCACCACCGCCAGTTTCACCGTGTTTGGCAAAGTTATTTAGTTTGTTGTTTTGCCCGAATATTGTTTTGTTTGCTGTTTTGCCGTGAATCGGATAAAAGTCCAACTTGCTCTCCCGGTGACTTTGAATTGTCGACCAGCAATTAAGTCAGTGCATATACATTAGACAGCAAACACACGCATCAATTAAGGACCAGTGATTGTGCATAGTGAACGGTCCTTTGTCCGTCGCGAGTCGCCTTCATTTGGCCCACAGAGAATTTCCATCGCAATTCAAAAGAAAAGTGCAAGTGACGGTGAAGGGGAGAAAAAAGGCTCACGCGAAGAACAAAAGTCCCGCATTTATAGAGCAAACAAACAATTAAATATTATTAATTTTAATTCACCTCCGCTAAATTACTATTTGTATTTCTGTGATTTTTCGCCTCTATTTTCCTCCCGCTCTCAATTATTGTGGTGCACGCCAGAAGTTAGAACGGAAAAAACCGCTGAAAAGCCAATCATCCGTTGATCGTGGCTCGAGTTTTTCCAAATCGCATGTCGTCACGTCAACCAGTGTCACCCGTAACTTCCTTCCGAAAACAGTCTGCGACGAGAAGAAAGGCAGAGAAGCTAAATTGAGACTCCCTTGGCAAAAAGTGAAAGAAATTCAAACAGTGCGATGGTGAAGCCACACCAGAGATTGTGAGTGAGGAAAAAAGCTAATTGTCGTCACAATTGAGTCAACAGTGAGCTCTTTTCATGAAAGATGGTGAGTACACAATGCCCACTTAATTACTGTAACGTGTTTGATGTGGAGCACTTCCGAGAGCTGCCCGGAAAAAGAGCCATATTACCACTAAATTACCGCCCACTTGACGAGTCAAAGGACTCTGAAAAAATACACAGCCTGCAGTTCTCAATCTCGCCCCTTCTCGGATTACAAATCCGCCGCTAAACGCGGAGGACACCCTCAGTAGCGCGGTATTTATTCACGAATAGCGTGAAATTTCAAGTGACTCCTTCCAAAGGCAACCAGCAGAAAATTGCCTTTCCTCCGCTGCTATTGAATCGGGAAAATCATACAAAGATTTGGGTTTAGAGAGATTCAAAAATCAGTATTTATAAGATCTGCATTTCTGCCCTCAATGCCAATAAGAAATAATACACTGGGGGTGATTCAATTGAGTTCACCGCGTAATCTCAGGGTACTTAGTTTGAGGGTATTAAATGAAATGCTTCAATATGGAAAATTTGTTAAATAGTCCTCCTTTAGTTTTTCTCCAAATTTTTCCTTTGTCCCCATTTATAGAGAAGGAGAAAGAGAGAGTGTAACTAAAGACTCAAATTAGTAAACTTAACTGAAGATATTTTCAATGATATTCTATTCCTGTTCAAAAAGCCAACTCTGATTGAACTCAATTCAATTTCTCCCGCTGTATGTAAATACACTAAAACCCTCATATTAATAACCATTGATCAAGATTCCACCACAAACTGAATTGTGTGGAAAACCCGCCACACACTCGCTTCTTTTTTGCGATATTTCATGCACAATTTAACAGAATCAGCCCACCTTTCCACATATGCCGACACGGAAATTCATACATCACCCCCGCTGATGCTCCCCAGAACGCTCGCTTTTTTCCTGTCTTCTTTCCTGTCTTCCCAACCCCTCAAATCGCTTCATGCCAAAAGCCCTCTCATATACATTGTTTGAGCAGTGCGGGCTTTTTTGTGTGTGAACGCGACAGATTCCGCTGTGGTTTTGGGTGCAAAATAAAATTATCACGTTTCACTTTATGACGACATAAATGCGTTCAAGTGAGATTCGCGGGGGGTTGACTTGGCGGCAGGCTCATGTGAAATGAATATGTTTCGCGAGTGACGTGTGACACGATTTATTTGCTCAGTTTGGGTGGATAGCGCGAGTGTTTCACGTCCAGAGGCACTGTTGGGAAAAGAACTGGTGGGAATTTTCTTTTGTGCACTCCCACTCGCCTATCAGCCTAACACTGAGGCGGTTAATAAAATATAGACGACCGTCAGATGGACGAGGACGTCTTGAGATTTGCAGTAATTCCTCCATATGGCACCCAATGGTGTCTTTTCCCATGCCGATCGTCTCCCTGTCTCTGGGTATGAAATATTCAAAGTGTCTCCCATTTGACAGTGGTGGGAATTTGCTCTCGGAAAAATTAAGTGAGCATCTCATAAATATTCGAGGGTGTGCAAATAAATCTTCATAGTATGTGTGTAAAGCTGGGAAATCAGTGCAACGCCACCATCTGAATTCACCCTGATATTTATGCACACAAATTTTCCTGAGAGGGTAAATTAATGCATGTACGAGTTGCTGAGAAGAATCCCCAAATGTATATGGTACGCAGAAGACAATGGGGGCATGGGGAAGAGATGAAAATGGGATATTATAAATATTTAATAAGCGGTTCGTCGACGGGGGTGGAAAATCGCTTGCAATTTATCATAAGGATAATGTAATTAGTTAGTCTTTTGTATATCAACACACGGCACAAGCACTCATTTTGCCGGCATTTCCTTTCTATCTCTTTGCACGAATCGCCAGGAAAAATGTATTAATTTTTAATTACTTAATCTTCTACGTGGAAGGTAGTGTTGAGCGCCTCACTATTTCAGGCATGGTTCTGCACATCTTTGCCTGCGCTTCCCGATATGTCATAGTCAATTGTAACGTGGCATAATGGTTAATTGCATTCTGGGTTGAATAATCCAATAAATTAGGGATGAGGAGTCTTGTACGGAGATTTTCTTTGTTGAGGCGCATCTTGGAAGAATATTATTGGATTATTGAGCAATATTGGGTAATTATTGCTCCAAATTGTCCCTACCCTTCATCCCCATCGACCATGAATCCACCTCAATGTCCCGACAGCGCTATAAATCTCCCCAACAAGACATTCACGGGCTGAGAGATGAGCTTTAGAGGTATGTTGTTGATTGTCTACGCGGTCTTGGAGGAGAGCTTCATGAAATTTAATCACGAAATTAATCTGGACGTCTGCAAACCACCCGGCGTTTTCAGGAAAATATTATTGGGGGCTCTGTTTGTACTCCTAAAGACTGAGCCGTGTGAGTTTCGGGGGTGGATATGTAGCATATCATCTCGTGGGATGCACAGAAGAGGAAAAAGGATTGTTTATGGGGTTTGGCTGCCTTGTCGGTTGATTGATGTTGCATAGTCACCCCTTTTTGTTGGCTCCCACCGGCTTCCTTCACATCGTCACCGCTCCACTTCGTCACCGCAAGAACCAGGTAATAATGGAGAGCAAGACATGGTGAAAAGTCGCCTGATAAATATATTGCTGTTGACGGAAGCTTCTCGACGTTCACATGAGTATCTCCCCAGCCACCCCGCCCTTATCAAAAGCGCACCCCTCGGAGCTCATCCAGTCCTGCGGGGAGTGAATAAATTTCATAGGAGAATAACAAGGAGCAAAACATGCAAAATAAGTTGATCATCACTCTTCACATTTTCACAGAGAATGTGACTACTAACCGGTTATTCGCACCATCATCTCAGCTGTTTCCCTCCGCCGGAGCCACCCTTCGTCGTCAAAAATTTACACTCGCATTGCAAGAGACGCAAATCTCTCCCTTTGTATGCAAAATCACATCATCAACTCACAAATCCACTTCGTAAGCATTGAGTCTCAGGCGACAAACGTCTAATGAACCACTCTCAAGATTATTTCAGCTCTTTATCGTGAAAATTCGGTCCCATACAAAATTGTGGGAGTGCGTTTTTATTTCTTCAAAATCACAAAAGTCTTGTGAAATCAATCTTAATGAATTATGAACACACATTCCAACCTCTCGAAATAACCCCGGTAAAAGTGTTCTATTTCTCCTCTCTATTTGGTATTCTTTTAGACACGTTCCATTAGTGATACTTAAGAGCACTATAAATTTTTAATATCAATAACTGCGTGCCCAAATTTACGATTCAACACAAATAGTGGGGTTGTGACCCCTGGAAAACCCTTTCACTCTCACTTGGAGCCAAACAAAACATACACGCACTAATGGATATCGCCACCCACTGGAACCCCTTTTCAATTTTACAGTATTCACATCCCCTAATTTACCATCTCGCCACCCTCTCGTGGTATCTCTCGGAGCTCAATAGTGGTCCCATTCATTTGCGTGGAGGCGCTTCGATTTGTCTTTCATCACTCCAGACCAATCGGGTAACCTCTGACCCTTGCTCCGATTGACGCACAAATTGTCTTTCAATTGCACCTGTTAAGTACCTGCCCGGCGTTTCACCCCTTCATCGGGACGTTGTCATGTGAGCCCTAATCAATTTGGGTCATTTTACTCTGTATGGGGTTCCCCTCGAGGCCTTAAGCAAATTGTATTTGGTATAACAGACTTCCAATGGACTTTTGAAGGGATCCTTCTCGCGATGAGTGACTCTATGAGTGGCGCGTGTGAGAATTAGAAAAGGACTAATTTGTTGTTCTTTTGCCACTTTTTTGCAGATGATTGATCATCTCCTCAAAACCTAAAATAAAATCCCGCTCGTTCAGCAATGAAAACAAATATGGCTCTAGCAAAGCGAAATGTTGCATTGAAAGAGGAATATCATGAGCCGTCGGTGAAAAATGAAATTGATTGTCCTGACAATGGTAAACGCAAGAAGCGTCCGAGTCGTGAAGAAGAGGAGCGTCAATCATTTGCTCAGAAGAAGAGGGCATTAGGAATATCACAGCAAGTGCCCCTGCGTGGGCTGCAGAAGCAAAATTCTGAAGATCAGGACGATGAGACGCTCATACGGGAGACCCAGGCCGCCCTCAAGAGTCTCTCGGGTAGTTGGCCAGATTCACAGAGAAATCCCTATCGCATGAATGATCAGGACGAGAATCCCCCGACATTCCAAAATCTCTTTGAGGAGAACCACCAAGATCATAAACTGTCCCCCGTGGCGCAACTCCCGTCCGTCAATCACGACGGCGGCAACCTCAAGGACGTCATCACGCTGAGGGACAAGAAGGGTGACCAGATGCAGGCTCCGCGGCGTCGGATGGTCAGGGACGAGGCTGGGGATGGCAAGACGCGTGACAAGTACTACCCCTCGCCGGACTTCAATGAGCTCGTGGATGATTCGTCTAATGACCTGGAGATTGACATGTCAGAGAGCGAGAAGGACGATCAGCGACAGTGCAAAGTACGCAATTCGTATTCTGGCAAGTCCTACGGCTCGGTATCCGCGTTCAAGCCACCGTCAGTTACCAGTGATATGATCCGCAAAAACGGGGCGATGGCCACTCCGATTGCCCTCGGACCCTTCCCGGCCGAAGCCACCTTTGTTGGCTACCCCGAGGAGCCACAGCTCCATCCTGAACACATGCCGACGTTCATCGATGAGAAGATCAAGAAGGAAGAGGACACTGTGAAGTCCGTCGGATCTCCGGACTCGAAGCAGTACACGATTCTGCAGCCGGCAGGAGTGGGATCGAGAGCGGCTTCGGTCATGCAGGATATCGCGAGGGAAGGAGTGGTGTCCGTCGCGGCAGTTAGCAGTACCAGCAGTCCAGGATTGGTGGGAGTATCTCCGAATGCACCCGTGCCGGCTGTGGGGACTGAAAGGGCAGGGCCACCGTCCTTTTCGCCGGGAAGTATGAACAGAGGTGAGTTTAGCATTTTAAGCAGAGATATCGATTACGCACTGCTTTCATTTCACTCGCTTATGCACGTAGTTTGAGAGCGCGGCCAGGATTTGGTCTCAAACTCAATCGCAACCGCCAAAATGCGGAGTGTAAGCACTCAATTGTGCAGCTTGAGTCCCATTCGATGCGATTGCGGGTGCGGTTCTGGTTACTGGGCTCCTGTGAGAAAAAGCGCTGAGGTCCTCCAATTACACGCTATCGCATGCGGTGTCCTTTGTACTGTCATCGGCACCAACCATAAATTTCCACTTCACGCCGGCCATTCATATTTGTACAAAAGACACACCGCACTCAGATGTTGAACAAAATCTATTTGTAATTTACAATTATTCGGGACGACATGAGCTCCGCGCGGGGGTGGGCGGGGTGGCACAGAGAAAGTTGGGTATGTGCCGGTCAAACAATACCCACTACGGCGCTCCGCAGAGCGACCACTTCACAGATGTCCAGTCCTCTGTGGGGCCGACATCTGGGGAATTTTCGGGAGGTGGCAAGAAAGTTCATTTATTGTGCGGGCGGTAATCTGCAATACATCATTCTACCGAAAATTTCACACATGGGTGCAATATTGTGACGATGGAGCCGCAAAACTTTCCACCATGCAATCCGAAAAGTGTCGAACTTCATTCCTCCAATGTCTACTTGAGGGCTCCCACATTGCCTCTGACCGATTGCGGCTCCTTTGACGGGGCGATCGCAGGGAAATCTGTCTCTCCAGAGCCCACATCCACCCACCAAGGCTGTAATCCCACTAAAGAGGTGTTTCTTCCTGCAGTGCCAGCAGAAAGAGGTGCTTTGCGTGTGACCTGAACACAAATGAGACTCTCTCGCCCATTGAATCTAAAAATCCTTGTGGTGGGAGATAAAGGGAAGCGCCGAAATCAGAGGGGTTCACCGAGGTATGCAAGCCAACAAGTCCCTGCCATGAACCACAAATTGGATTAGAAAACGTGACGTCATTAGCGGAAAGATACCTTCCTTGGCGATGCAGTGGTTGGAGATGATTCTTTTTCCCACTCGTGATAGACGAGAGGGATTTTTTTTCTCTCAAACAATCAACTGAAACGGGTTGAAATCCTCCATGTTTAATAATTCATTATTATTATTGTATTGTTATTCGTCAGAGTGGCGGTGAAAATCCGAAAGAAAAATCGACAATTCTCACTGTGAACCTCCTCGCCGACACACATAGGGAAAAAAATCAGAGAAAAGCTCAATTCCCACCACTTGGTTTTCGGTGCTCATTTTTCATTGGTGTTACCCAGTGCGAGCAAATGAATACAAGAAAAAGAAAGCTCTTTTTTCCAGCTGCTATACCGCCCAGCCGAAGCGGAAATGGGTGGAAATGTTCCGCCCCATTTTCCCAAGATTCACCTATCGCGTCGACTCATTTCTCAATGTGCTTCTCTGTCCTCATTCACATGGTGAAGCCAGAAAAAAAAATGTAATACATTATGGTGGATGCTTTCGCGCGTATATGTTGTGCAAAATTGGCAAATTGATCTTGAAAAGTGCGTTGCGGAGCAAAGAAGAATTTCATGCAGTAAATTATCTGGTGGAAATCGATTGTGGCCAAGAACGGAAAGTTTGAGGAAAATTAGTAAATGACGCTCCCCCAGACTATGTATAGCGTTTGGGGAAAGTCTCAAAAGTTTTCCGCGATGGTCGATGGATTCCATAACTTTTACCATTTTAAATTATGTACAACTTTTGGTTGACTTTGGCCAAATTTTTGAATGGGAAAGTGTAAAATATATTTCGCAAAGTTTCACCGTTTTTCCGGAAAAGTTTAGGAAAAAAGTATACCTACATCTTCCACTAGGCAAAGTCCTGCCAAGCGCAGATAAATATATATAAACACAATAAGTTCACTGGACTTTCCAGGACAATTGGAATGGGAAGAGTTTTGTCTTCTTCTTTTTCTGGGTATATAAAGAGTCGCGCGCGCGACATCTTCGGCCACACAACTTTTCACTCACACCCCCAAACCTACGGATTTCACGGCAAAGTAATCCCCTCAGCGAGAGATTTATAATATGAAAAGTAAGTTAAATATCTCTCGCTGAGAGTGAGGAAATTTTCGAAATAAAACTTTCTTCCCGACTTTGGACTCCTAAAGGAGTTTACCAAACTGGAGTTTTGCACTTTTCCCAACCCCGAAACTTTCTCAAGTTCATTGTCCGTGCAACTTTAATTATTGATTTGTGTTTACTTTTTGCACCCACGGAGAAAATTCAATATCATCGCCACACATTGCATGCTAAAGTCAATGGCTTACTTTAGCCCGACATCGAGGGGCGCGCGGCGTGTGAGGACTTTGCGTGGCGGAGAGATTCCCGTGAGAGTCATAAATCTAGCAATTAGGGCAACAACATGCAGTCTCGTTGGAGGATGTGACGAATATTAACTCGTGTATCCCTCACCCAAAATCATGTCGCAATGGCAAATGAGACAACCCTTTCCTTCCCTGTGTTGTGCGTTCGGCAGTCTTGAGAGGCCGAAGGCACCGTAACTCGGCCACTTTGCAGAACTGCTACCTAGAAATGCTAAATTCCGGTACAAATTGACTACATTAAAGCCTCTTCATGAGCTGCTAACAGCCGGAAAATCAAATAGCGGTGGTATTCTTTAAAACTGATCAAGCAGAAGGTGTTGGAGAGAGTCCTTTGGTGGAAAACGTGACCAGGATGTCTTAAGCACCCTCTCGGCTTGGACAAGAAATTAAATAATCCTCAAAATGGCAACATGGAATTTATTGTCTTGTACCTCACCTAAAGTGTCTAAATAAATTATGACCTTACATCGTGCGACAAGGGTTGAACGCCATACAGTTTTTAAAACGGGGTAAAAATATATCGTTCCCTTCTATAAGAAACTCCGAAGACTCTGTGCCTCTTTAAAGGGTTTCCCTTTGCATCTCCTGCGAGATTGGGAAATTAAAGCTCATAGCGTACACAATTCATTTTGTGTGTTGTATTCTTCGTCATTTTCGGGATTGCATGTTATCTCGAAAATGTAGCGACTTTCTACATAGATTGTGGCACTCTCAACAACCATTAGCTCGCTGTGCATTCCCTGGAATACATTGGGTGTTGGTAAATCGTTTTGTGCTGTTCAACAGACAACCCCAGCGCCTCGCGATGTTCTCGGCTCCGCCGCTGAGAATGTGCTAAAAGGATGTAGAAAACAGCGCAGCGTTTTATTTTATTAAGTAGAAAATACCGGGCGGAATAGTTGGAGTGTGAGACTGAAGAATGGTGGGTGGCATCCGCAGATAATTCCTTCCCAACATCAACCACTCTCCGTAATACTCTCTCCGTTGCTGGGCTGTCGTGGAAAAACCACGGAATTATGGTGGATGGATTGAAAAGTGCCTGAGCATGTTAGAGAGACTGAACAGGAGGAAGGGAAGTAACTCAGGAGATGTGAAAGAGTGACGGGAATGCGTCTAATGATTAAAATAGATGAGAAACTCATTATGTTCTGCGGTTGCTTTCTTTCACTGGGAAGCTATTGTGATCGAAACTGATGCCGATGGCGAGAGTGTGGGGTAAACTTTTAAAGAGCACTTCTTAAGGAGTTTTCCCTTCCTTAAGCCGAGGAAATCATGCTGCTCTATACAGCCAGCGATTATTCTTGCTCCATCTCTGCGAGATTCATAGCTGTCGTCAAGTTTTGTCTAATGTGCATTATGCCTTCTTGTCTTTCCAGAGGGAAGCAAGTGTCCAACACCTGGATGTAATGGACAGGGTCATGTTACAGGCCTGTACTCGCATCACAGAAGGTAAGTCACTGACAACTTGCTGCTCACCTTCCTGTTGAAAGCACACTCTAAACTGATTCTCTCCGGATTAGCCTGTCTGGATGCCCCAGAAAGGATAAAGTTACCCCAGAAAGTGAGTATACAATGTATATTTTCATGATGTCAAACTTCATAATATCATTTTCTAAAGATTATTCTGTAGTTTTCAATTGCTTTTGCAATATAATTTTGACAACAAAAAGCCAAAATTCGCATGTTTTTCTCCTTGGTTCACCTCTGTTACTTCAAATTCCAATTAGCGGGGTAGAGAGCTTTCGAATTTCCAACACATCACTCTTACCGAAATTCAATTGCCTTTATTTTTATCTGCAAGACAATTTCTTGTTTCATACCATTTCTTTTCTCATTCAGACTTTTTTTGAGATGGAATTTGAGGGTATAAGTGTTGATAAAGTTCCACCAGTTATCAAGTTTTGAGGGATTACAGTTACTGAAAAAGAAAATTTGTGAGAAGTCAAGCCAACATATTGAGTATATTCTATGTTATTCTCAACTCATACCTGAATGAGAAGTCTAACGATAATTAACCTCTTCAAAGGTGTTTCTGTTCATTTTTTAAACTCTCTCCCCGCTAAGTCTTTTCTATGATTTCTCTTCTCAAACCTTTAAAATTACAGTATAAAAAAATAGAAAAATCAATCTTGTGTGCAAAGTTGGGGTCAGAGAGGTTTTCATATATATATATATCTTCCTATTAATTTCCAGTTTCTTTTGTCTCTGAAATTTTGTCGAAATTCTTCCTGATTTTTGTTTTCTATATCTATTAATATTGTTTTAGAGGAATATACTCAATATATTTAATGAATTTTCTCATTTCCATTCGAAATTCGTCACGTAATCCGTTGCTAAACCTGTTGAAATTCAAAAACTAAAATTTGAATGAAAATCAAGTATTGGCGATGCATGAAACAATTCTAAAATGTCCAACACCCGGCTGTAATGGTAGAGGGCATGTAAGCTCGAATCGGAATAGTCATAGAAGTCTCTCCGGTTGTCCAACGGCGGCAGCTAATAAGGCAGCTGCTCGAGAGCAAAAGTACCAAAATGGTTTCACTTATCGCCAAAAGTCAGCACTTGCGGCAGGTTTGTTACACTTTTATCTTCCATCAACTTTTCTCATTGATGTCGTGCGAATCTATTCCCCCCTTCAGTATATTGATGTTGATTCGAATTGATTTGAACTGATTTGTTGATGAACTCTTGCAAGACAACACAGAATTTCCACTTTCAGTTTGATTCTTCCATCTCAAAAATGTGCTGTTTGAGTTGTTGCGTGTGGTTGTCGCTTGTTGATATCCCGATCATTTAGTCACACCCTCGATTGCCTTTCAGTGATGAACTGTCATCAGATGACTGATTATCGGCCGCTCTTAGCAACAGCTGAAATTGATCCGAAGAATCCATACAACATCAACTTCGCATCCAACCCAACAGTGAATCGGGTTCCAACTGGTGAATCATACTTTGCGCCACAGCCAACAAATCAAACACAGAACTCATCATTCGACCAGAAATCCTCAGTTGAGCAACACAATCACACAATCGAGCAGAGCAAGATCACAAAACAATCCCAAAAACTTCCAGAGACAAAGAATACTCCAGTTTCCGCCAGCGTCAGTGTTAATAACAACAACAACAGCGCAAAGTGTAACAATAATAACACAAGCGCAAGCATCAACAAGTCAATCGTAAAGTCGGAATTGCCACCTATCAAGTCCGAGCACTCGATAACGTGCAAGAGTCCAAATCCTCAAACTCAACCGACATTGCAGCAGCCAAAGCCATACGATTCCTACATGAATCACGACTCTAGCTCCAGCTCAATGGCGTCTGGGGACAGCGGGAGTCTGAACAAGTGTCCACCCATCTCCAACCAGCCCCTGAGTGGACTTCAGCATGCCCAGAACATGAATGGGTATTTGGAGATGCATCAGCATTCGCAGTTGCAGAACGCACAGAACTTACCGCAGAGGCCGTTCGATATGATGTCAGTGCCACCGCCAATGTCCATTGACGACCCCTATCTTCGCGAGCAGCAGATTCGGTACTCTCAAATGAACGATCTAAGCGGGCTGGCCAGACCTGCAGTCTCGTACGGTGACATCGGCGGGAATCGAGCGGTTCCCACCGGATATGAATTGTCCGTGAACTCCGCCAGTCATCGGCCGTATGACCCTGGCGTAGGACCCATCACCACTGCTTTCGAGCGGTACGATCCCAACTGTCCGCCACAGCGAACCAACATGTATCCCTACATTCAGCCCAGCATGGAAGACATCAACCAGCAGCAGAAGTATCTGCAGGAGCAGCACATGGCGCACGCCATGATGAAGCAGGACGTGGACGAGAATTCGGCGCCAATCTATCCGCGGCCCATGTACCACTACGACCCCTCGACAGGCACCCTGCCGCCGGGCTTCAGTGCCATCAACCTGTCAGTGAAGATCGGGGCTCCGCATCCGCTGCCGCAGAAGGGCGGCGGATCGCCGTCTCCGAATGGTCCCGTGATTGACCTCTCGACGTCTAGTGTCACCTCATCCAGTCCGCACGGGTTCAACTCACCCCATTACGGGGGGCAGCGCATGCAGACGGGCAGCCCCCAGCCTGGTGCCAGTCCACACCACCTGGCGAGTCCCCAAGTGCCAAGTCCTCAAGGGCAAACCCTTGACTTGAGTGTCAACAGATTGCCTCACAGGTACGTGTGCGACTCACAATCAGTCCACAGTGGCATTAATCTCGAGTGCACTTGAAGGATTTTCTTGTCTCTGCAAACCATCCACAATCCCATTCCGCCAACCCTATGCTAAACACACTGTCTTGAGATTTCAACAGCATTAAAGCGCCAGAAGAGGTGCGGTGAAGTCGAAAGGCAAGCCGACAGAGAGAGTTGGGATGAGACGACATCAAGTGTGGAGCATTTAAGGCAGTAAACCCACGTATAATCCTTATCTATAAAAAATCTAAATCCTCACCAAAATATTTTTACCGTCCCATTGAGAAAGTTGGAGCTTATGAAGTCACACTTTTCGGCCGCAAAGCTCCTGTAAAAAATCCCTTTGCACAATTACATTGCGAATAATGGCAGTGAGAGGAGCTTTTTTATCCATCTGCAATCCAAACACCTTTTCCCCTCTTCATTGCACTCTGAAAGAGACTCTGTGGGTGTTTTTTGTGGCTGGGATTAGGAAGAGAATGGCTGGAATAAAGTGCACTTGCTTGCAGCGGTGACACGAGTCCTCAGTACTCAGCTCATCCGGACGGGATGGGTCATCCGCAGAGCTTCGGCGGCACCCCGCGCTCACCCCAGACGGAACCCGTGGACTTCAGTGGTCCGCCCCGACCCGTGGGCTTCGGCCTGGTGTACAGTCGAGAGTCCACACCAGACAGTGGGGCCTCCCACTACATGGAGAGCTACCGAGATCCGAGTGGTGAGTAAATTTAATCATTTTTCATAATTAAAATCCCATGTTGCACACAGTGTGGAGCAAGATGGAATTTTTTCCCCGGCAGAACTTGAAAGGATTTCCGCTAAAGGGGATTCCCCAGTGGTTTTCCATTCCCCTCCCGTGGCATTTTTCTAGCCACAAAGGCGCCCATCAGCATCGCCATTCTTCACTGTGCGATATGACCATTGAAAATGGTAGAAAACAATGACACGGAAAACTCGCCGATAGAGAGGTGCTGGCTTACCCCTTTTCCGCCCACCTCCGCAAAGCGCCAAATACCGAGTGGGATATTGTCCAGCTCGACGTCGTGAAAGGTCCTTTTGTTGTTTGGTAGCGGAAGCCAAAACAAATGCTACATTTTTCTGCAAAAATTTCAATTTTCTCCCCACCCTCGACACACAGCATCAAAGTATGGAAAAGACCGCTTATTTGCGCCTAGCATCAAAGTTTTGTGTATAGGATTAGAGAAGGGGAGATGCTAGTCGAGGGATGGGAGAAATGGGGTTGGATCAGGTGAATTCTTGCATTGCGCAGATTCTAGAGAATTTTCCTCCATCCTTTCCCAATCACGAGGTTCCAGAAACCTCTTCACTTGATCTGATTAGCTTAATTTTCTCAATTTCAGGCTACAGCCCTCATCCCGGAGGCTATGGCATGGTGGTGCAGCCAGAGTATCCGCCCACAGGCTACCCTAGCTACGCGCCCAGCGCCTACCAATGCAGCGGTCCGTACGGCAGCGCCGTGGGTCCTGCCGGATATCCAACGCCAGTGTCAGCCGGCTATTCCCCCAGTGCGACTTCCTGCTACGCGATGCCACCGCCACAGCATATTCCGCAGCACGATAAGCCTCTCTCGAAGGACAGGTGAGCTATGCAGACTCTCAAGTGGCATTACCACTCCCGTTCGTCTTCCCAATGGCCCAACATTAGTCCCGGTGCCCACCATCAATTCTTCATTATAGTCGACGGTCTGATGTGCTGTCATAATCCAATTACGCCGGCAGGGGTTTTCCTTATGCTGCTGTGTAGCAATTTAGCCTTCCATGCGATGTCCCAATTCACCTCACCTTTCTATTTTATCATCGTCTCTTAAGGTTTCCGGGGTGCACTTTATCATCCACCCCGATATGATAGTATTAAATTTTCATTCCAGTACACCAACCATAACGCAATAGTGGCGTGTTCAGCAATTTGTCAGTTTGAAGGCAAAATAAATTTGCTGTGGTTCTCCACGTGACAGTGTTTCAGTCATATCTGGGCCCCCATCCGGCTTAGATGAGATTCTAAGTGGAAGCTGTGCTATATGCACAAAAACTAATTTTATCAAGCCATGGCATTTTTGCTGCATTTGTCATTACACATTCCAGTCATGTTTCGAAAGACACACGTTTATTAATATCACTATGGGAAAGTCCATGGTGAATTTATGTATTCTCTCCGCTTTTTTAGCCCCTCTTCTAATTAATTCCACTGACTTGATGCTCTCAATTAAGTACAATAATGTTCCAATAAATATTATTGTTTTCCCCCGGTTGGGAAACAACTTCTCTCCACTCGAGTGTCTCCTCGGGTGGATAAACAATGGAGGAAATCAGAAAAATTTATCGTCCGTCCAATTACCAGCTCTAACAAGTAAATTAAATAAATTTTCCGCTTGATTTTGCCTTGTTGAGCGCCACTCCATGGCATTGTATATATTTCAACCCCTATGGAAAAAAACTAAAGGAAAAAATCGATTGCCAATCCTTCTTTCGCGCAATCTTTGCAGCCTGACTGGGTGTCCGCGGCCAGATCGGACGCAAATCCAGTCCCACTCGCAGGAGCTCAAGTGTCCGACGCCAGGATGCGATGGTTCTGGCCATGTCACTGGCAATTATTCATCTCACCGAAGTCTGTCCGGATGTCCGAGAGCCAACAAGCCGAAAAGCAAACCAAGAGACGGACAAGATTCAGAACCACTCAGGTTAGTATTTAAATTTACATTACAAACCCATGCATTATGGAGGCGAGTGAATTAGTATTGATTAAATATTCACAAGAGAGGGACTGTCGAGTCCTCCGAATTTCCATGTCATCTTCTGGGTGACATTTTCATATTTCACCAGAGAGGGAAAGGGAATTCATATCAAATCTCGAAATGAACACCCTCTCAGCACAGCGCCAGGGAGAGATATTCAAATTTTTCCACTTGGGCAAAAATATGGTTTAATTCGTATAATTCCAACCCTCATCCGCTGCGTTGTGGCACGTTTCTAATGTGGAAAAAGTCACATGGAAATAATTAATTCATTTTTCACACAGATGTCCTATTCCGGGTTGCGACGGTTCCGGCCACTCCACGGGCAAATTTTTATCGCACAGAAGGTAAAATCTCACCCAAAGTATTATCACGTATTTAGCTGGCCATTTAGCCTGGCAGAAAAGACACACGGCCTGCATGGTGACAATGAGTGACTTGATGGCGAATGTGGGTGAATGAGATTCATTTTCCGGATTTTCCACCCTCCAACGCTTTGGGATATCACATGGATAATTTCTTTTGTATTACTGAACCTCCCCAAGCTAGAGGGGCGTGGAACACGTTGTGTGCTTTCAGCTGTTTTCTCACATAATCCACTCATTTCATCGCATTACTTTTCATTTGATAATTAAATTCAATCTCACGGGTCACATTCCCAATTGGAATGGCTGAGCAGATTGCTTTTTACTCCCTGTCATGATTAACACGGTTGAGAATCTTGCGATTATGCAGTGATATAAAAAAGTTTCAGCGTTTTTTGGTAGATTTCATATGAATTGAAGTAAAACTTTAGTGAAATCCATACGATTCTAATCGTATGAAATCAGCGAAGCGTTAATATTTTGTTTTTTTTTGTAATGAGATTTGAGGTTATTGTGTAAGAAATAAAGTAAATATAATTTACTCCAGTTTGGCCTCAGGATATTCAAAGAGATCTTGCATTTTTCAATTTGATCATCCTAATTTTGTGAGTCCCAATGGTTAAATGTATGAAAAATTAAATAAATAATCCGCGAAAAGTAAAGAATTTTGAAGTCAGTTTAGGGTTCAGCATAAGATTATGTTCCAAGTAATGCAACAGACACATCTCTCTTATGCGTAAATCGCTAAATCACACCTATAAACCGCCTCAAGCCACTGTCCCTTGCTTAATACCGATGAGCTAAAATGGTTGTTTGTCTTTTGCGACGCAGTGCTTCGGGTTGCCCAATCGCCAACCGCAATAAAATGCGCGTGTTGGAGAACGGGGGCACTGTGGAGCAGCACAAGGCCGCTGTGGCTGCAGCGACGGCAATGAAGTTCGACGGGGTGAATTGCCCGACCCCCGGCTGCGATGGCACGGGACACATCAATGGTACCTTTCTCACACACCGCTCCCTGTCCGGGTGTCCGACCGCCGCCCAGGGCATCAAGAAGCCCAAGTACCCAGACGACGTCACCATGGTGTACCCCAAAGGATACACGGGTAGGTTCCTCTAGCAAGCTTACAGAGACACTTTTGCGCCCCGAGCCGAGGTATATAGTGACGTGTAGGGTCGTAGAAACGGACAGTGTGTGCTAATACCATTGCTCTCCTTTGATAACTTGACAAATGTCACAGCAAATGGCAATCTCAAAAATCGTTCTTTCCCATTGTCACCGATATAGATTATCAGAATTTCGCCGCTTTAACATATGGCCGTGAATATTTCTGCTAGCTATAATTTCAAGGTAAGTCCATACCAGCAAAACCATCAAAATTTCTCTCCAAACTGTTAATCACGAGACAAAGTTCTTGTTGCAAGAAACTTTTTTCAATCCAAGATAATGGACTTGTTACTGTGCCTCTAATTGTGTTTTTTATTAGTTTGTCAAGTTCGCTGACAAGTGTTGAGAACCGAGCAGGAAATATTATTTAATTTTTACATTTTCAAACACCATTAAGTGACAATTGAAAAGTTGCTAAAGTTCTATCGTGACTTCATAATGATATTGGCACACACACTGTTGAAAATGACTTTCAATACAAAATATATAGTTTTTTTCGCTTCTCTCATCGCCCAAAGTCTCTTTCAAGTGGCGAGAAATTTGAGTAAAGACGAAATAACTAAAGAAAATGTTCCGCATTGGTGAAAAGACAATATGTATCAAAATTAAATAATACTCTGAAACTTTTTTGGCCCACCTCAAGAGATTCTTAATCATGATCTTGGTTAAACATCGCGTGGGACAGTCTAACATGTTTGTTTTCATTTGCAAAATCGTGTGATTGATCTGTGAGAAAATGTTACAAAGATTTGCATTCAATGTTGAGGGCCAAAAGAGTTACTCGACTTTCCATTTCTGTTCCGCCTTCCGTTTGTCTTATCTTTGGTTTCTTCTCCTCTGGAAATTATATACCTATTATGTCTAATCGTTGTAGTGGTAGCTTTTGATTTGTATCGATTACTGCCTCGATTTAGACCACCCCTAAACACCGCTTAACAATGCCAGATAATCTGCAATATACTTCAATGTTCGATAAACACTTGGAATTATACTTGAACATGCAATTCCAGACACACAATAGCTTGAAAATTCTTAAAGTTCAGCCCTTCAAAACATCTCCTGCCAGACAGAACCTTCAGATTTAACACTCATCTTAAGTACAACAATTACATTTCACCAGCATTCACTCTATTTTCAGAATTATTCCACCCCTTTTCATATACTTTAATTACCAATTAAGATGAAACCCCCCATGCCCTTCGCCTGCACCGAAATTCGCCATTCTATTCAATTTTAATGGGAAGCTGTGAAGCTTGACCATTTGAATAAATGACTCCCGGCAATTTTGGGGTAGAGCACTGGCCCAAGAATGGCATTTTCGAAATCATGCAGAAATGCTCACCGCACTTGTCAGATATTTTGTCATGGGGTGCAAACTAACACAAGTGAAATGTTATTTTCTCCGATTTGCATCACCGGAAATTGTGCTCTCACATAATATGCCAAAAGTGTCTTTACAACAATCAGTTTTTTTTCTAGGTGTACAATATTCCTTTTATAGATATTTCGAAAACATTCCAGATTTTATATTTCATGAAGTCATTTGGATCCCGAATTTGTCTAAACTCCTGTAACTGATCCCTAAGCTTGTTCATAAGTTCACAAAAAAAAGCTTCAACATCATCATCACACAAGTGTAACCATGTAAAACATATTGGATAATGTCGTGAATTTTTGTTCTTTGTTATTTTTTATGTGTTCCATGCTTTTTAACCTGATTTCTTTGTTTGTGTAATTATGATAAATTTACATGAATCCTAAATTCACACAGCGAGATAACACAACTCTTGATCTCAGTCGATATGTAGCACCCAAAACTCTGTCTTTAATCTGAGTGTGACCCTGTAAATCTGTTTCTTTTTGTGCAAAATCTGGTTGAGCCTAACTAATGTTGTGCCACTAATCTCCCCTCTCATTGGTCAGGCATGGAAATGATGATGAACAGCAATGCAAACGGCGAAGATCTTATGACCCTCGAGGCGGAAATCACTGAGCTCCAACGCGAAAATGCTCGAGTGGAGTCCCAAATGCTTAGACTCAAATCCGACATCAACGCCATGGAGTCACACTTGAATCACGGCGATAGGGTACGTAAGATAAGGTTGGTTGAGGGCCGAGAAACGGGTAAAACCACACATCTCTTTACTTAATCATTCTTACTCGCTGTAGTCAGTCAATTATGTTTCCTTTGCTGGTTGTTATTGCATTTCAATAAAGCAGCAATTTCACGAGTCGCTCCAGTGCGAGGGTGGCAACGGTCAAATAAATCAATTTTAGAACCTGAAAAAAAACGCGATATCGCGAGGAAATCTCGGAAATTGCTGTTTTATATTCATTTCTTGTTGCTCAGCACTTGAGTTTTTTCACTTATTCTTCCTAGTGTGGATGACATATTTTTTATTCTCCCACTAATTTTCCATTTTCACCCCCCAAAAAGTCCCCGTAAACGACGCTAGGTTGCGTGAATTTCATGAAATATAAAATTTGGAATTTCCCCGGACGAATTTTTCCATTGAAATCTTTCAAATTTACCTTTACGACACGTGAAAATTCCCGTCGGATCTATCGTAGGAATTGATTTTTGAGATTGCAAGATTGTTTTGAAATTTTCAAAGTCTGGCACACGAAAAAAAATCCCCACACGCACTTTCCTCAGGATTTCCACGGCAAATGATAGTGCCGAGCGATTGAATTCTTGTGTGTCTGCGTCCCCTTCGCTCTGGTAAATAAATAAAATCAAAAAGTCATTAATTTAAAATTCATGAATTCCTCCATTGAGCGAGGACGACAAAAATGCTGGCGAGGGGTGGTGGGTGGCAAGTGGAGCATATTTTGAGACACCCTCCGTCCGCGGTGATTTTTTCCGTGGGGAAAAAGCGTGAGGAAAGGTGTGAGACACCCTCCAGAGCCAAGTGGAGAGTTTTATCAATGAAGCGGCAAAGAGTCCAATTTCTTGCCCCCGAGCTTTCCATTAGAATGGCAAGTTTGTCGGTCTTATGGTAATTTTCCTGTCCCCAGCTCAGCATAAGTCACATGTGACGCAAATTACGAGCATCTGTTTCCACGAGTTGGCGCGATGAAAAGAAACTCATTAAATTTATCGACATGGTGGAATTTTATGAAATTGGACGGAAAAATCCGTGTATGGAGGAAAAGTTTGCGGTGTTGAGAAAAATGCATTGTTCGTGTGGCTGTGGAAAGTATTATTTTTCAATATTCACTGCAGAAGGGTGTCCGCTTTTTGGCCATTGTCTGGAGGAGATAAATAGTATGGCATTGCAATGGCAAAAGAGTGGCAGGAAAAAAGCTCCCAAAAGCTCTGCTGAGAAGTAAAAATTTATTACGCAACACACAAGAGAGTTGAAACATAATTCATGCGCATGAAATATTTCGGTGAGATTTTTTCTTCTGTCGCTTTCCTGGCAATTTCTGGTCCTTTCTCTCTCTCTCTCTCTCTCTCGCACACATCCATCCACCCTGGTCTTCCACCCCCTGGAGATTGAGCTTTTTTCGTGTTCTATTTTTGCTACAATTTTCTTTTGGGGCTTTTTTCTCTCCCCGACTTCTTCTCCGGGTGATAAAATGATTCTGGGCATGAGCACTGAATCGGTGTCTAGCCATTGGAAAACGGGAAAAGCCAGCAGTAACGCCCTCCACCCACATTTAGTTCTTTCTCTCTTGCTCCGCTGGAAAATGCAGCCTGCGCTCTGGCACAATTCCCACCAGAGGAGCCACACGGCGGCCCCCACGTCGCCCCAGCGCAGCTCCTCACGTACTCGAAGGCCCCCGCTCAGCATTTTCAATGACTGTTAATTTGCAAATGCACCAATAAGTGCATTCAATGGGAATGCCTCGAATGGGGAGCACTTATTTAATTTTTTCCCAAATAAACTTTGCCAGAACTTTCGTTCAGTTTCACATCGGGCTCCAAATGTCTCCCTGCGTATTTGCATTCCACGAAGATAAACAACTACAGAAAGGGTGGCAAACTCGCGAAGCACACATAACTATCACAGGAGTGTAGATTTAAAATTTTGTACTTCTTGAGTTTTTGAGAATCACTGAGAGGCATTTAATTATAAAAGAAGGCACTTATTTTGAGTGGGATTTTCAAGTTAATTGTGCAACTCTAAGTTAAGGGATCAAGATTAGAAAAATCTCCAAAATCCCAGCAATAGGTGTTCAAAAACTCAAAAAATCGGCGAAAGTATCACTGTATTTTTATAATTTATTTAGTCTTTGCACATTTCTATTGTAAAGTATAGATTTTAAACAATCTAGGATCAATTAGTAAACTTATTTCAATTGATTTGATAAATCACATCAGTTTTCGGTTGCTTGAGCGTTCTCAAATGTCAAAAGCTCTTCCACAAATCGCATTGCTTTTGGGGGAAAAATTGATAATTGAGGCGCGTTTAGAACATGGAAAATTACCAAATAGACACATTATCTCATTGAAAGGCTAACTATCACCGCTTTTGGATGCGGCATGGTGTGGTATTGAATAAACGTAACCATAGCATTAACACGTCGTCGTTTTAATTTGCGTCTGGAGTGCACATGAGGGTGGAATTGGGGCTGTTGAAATGCAAAATTTACAGTCGCTCGAGGTTGTCTTTTTCGAAATGCCACTGCATTTTTGCATATAAATTACATTTGTTCGCCTCCAATTTCTCCGGAGTACCAATTAATTTTCCCATGGAAATGACTTTCCATGGAGCGCTCGAGGAGGCGGAGAGGAGCTGCCATGGGAAACAATTTATCGAAGGGGTCTGAGTCGTGTGCAACTATGAAGAATTTCCCAATGAATACACTTGCAAATAAATCATGAAATTATGTTGCGGTAGGTTTTCCCTTATTTCGCCATATATGATGGCTTTCAAGAGTTTCTGGCGAGGATGCGAATAAAAAGGTCAATTCTCTTCTCCAGGAATTGAATTATCACAACTTGCTCAAGGGACTAAATTAGAGAGGGTGAAGCGCTTCAATTTTAATTTAGTGCGCCGAAGTTTTAATTTATTTACACCTAGTTCAGAGCCGTAGAAAAAACATTGAGTGCAAAAGGGTTTTTTTCCCATCACGTCTGAAATTTTCTCCTCATTTACTCTTCACGTGTAATTTTATTTTTATCTTGCTGGAAAACTGCCCTTCCCGAGCTCTTTTATATTTTTTCTCTTGGATGCATGAGCAAATTTCATGAATATTTTATACATTTTACCTGAGAGCAAGAAAGGCACCTTTATCAATCTACTAAAGTTTTAAATTCGCTGCTGCAGTACCTTAATTGTTGCTGAGCATTTTTATCGTGGGCTTCCTTGCCTAATGCAATTGTCCTTCATCTTATCCGTGCAGGAGACTCAAATAATCTCGCAGAGGAACAGCAACTTGAACGAATACTATGAGAGTCTGAGGAACAATGTGATTACGCTGCTGGAGCACGTGAGGATACCGAATGGTGGGCCGCCTGAGAAAGTGGGTCATGAGAACTTCGACAGCTACCTGTCCAAATTGCAGTCACTCTGCACACCTGAAGGCTACTGCCCGGACGAGAATCGCCCCATTTACGAGACCGTCAAGTCCGCTCTCCAGGACTTCACTGTGCTGCCGACGCCTATTTGAGAGGAGCACTGACGGGACGATTGATGTTTTCATGCAGAAACATGAATTCACGTGTCAGACATTTAAGACTAAATGAATAATTACAGGAACTATTTATACCTAATTAATCTCATTTGTAGGCTAAGGCAACACCTAGATATTAACTGTCAATTGTAGAATTTGATTTTATATTCCGTAGAAAGTCTATCTAAAGTGGCTGAGAAGAGCACAGAGGAGAGAATAGCTATTAATCTTCTATTTTACCTAAAGAAAAATCGATGTAGATAAAGTGTGATTTGTCTCTTCATTTGATAATAGGAGACAAATCAGCTCAACTTGCTATGTGTACATAATTTTTACTACGTGTAAGTTTATTCAGAATTGCAAGTGAGATATTTCATGTAATCTAAGGACATTGAATGTAAAAGATAGAGTATTAACTATGTGTCTAGTATGAAGTATTGACGGTGAATAGAGAGAAGGAGAGTCGCTCCCTATTTGATTACTATAATAATAACCACACCATTCTTTAATAATCTTATCTTTTATGGTGCTTCGGAGGCAAAGGAAGTGGAGTAAACCAAAGTGAGATTTGTTTTGTATTTTCACTTATTGATTGAATATTTTGTCATCTGTGTAAATAAGATATCGATAGAATCTCAGTTGCTAAAAGGACATCCTGTAAATACAAAGTACGATGAAAGGAGGAGCATTTCAAAACACAAGAAAAAAAAAGTGTCACTAGAGTATCAGCAAAATGGAAATATGAGAAACATCCAAACTTAGAGATTTGTAAGTGAATAAAAACATAGCTTGGAAAATACATCATGTAAACTCTAACACAGTAAATGTTTAAACCTGCATTATGTGGATGACATATCAGTTTCTGTTTGTCAATGTTAATCCCCACTATTTTCCATCCTTCACCAATGCAATCCATCATGTTTCCTCTGTATGAATTAATAGTGTGGAAAAGTGTACACTTCGCAGCACAAGTGTTCGAATGCAAGAAAACCCCAGGCAAAAACCTCTCATTAGCCACTTCACCCACAATCCCGCGAGAGCCAATGTGTATAAGGAGAGATCTTGGGCAAGATGTATATTATTTTGTACGGAAATGTGTTTAGAAGTATAAACTCTCGTATATTGTCATTCTCATTAAGGGTTTCTGTTCACACCTTAAGATACTTGTTACATTTTTGTGAATAGTAAGCTATATAAGATACCACTATACCGATGAAAATTTTAGGTATTAATAAAATTCTCTGTAATAATTACTCAATTGTGTTTAATTGTTTGTCCTGTCTTTGGTCAAGTGTCTGAGAAATCTTCCAATTTCCGGAGCATCATCGAAAAGAAATCTTTCCTTTATTGCATTACAAAACCGTTGAGGCTCTAATTTAAAAGCTCAATCTACAATTTCTGCTTTGTCGTCTTAAAATATTCAAACTTTATGAGAAAATCTCTGATAAGCTTTTGCGCCTGAGATAAGAAAGCCCGAATCCTATAAATATCCAGTGAGGACACTTCGTAAGCTCCTTAGTGAAGCTTTCAACCATTTGTGCATCGCTCTATTTTAGCGTCATCTGCCCTTAATCTTCTCTGTGGGGGAAATTGAAGGCACACTTTCCCCACAGCTGAGCAATCCCTCGCCGAGGGGGCGTCCATGTGGGGGTGCTCCAGACTGACAGGCTGTGTGGAATCTGCGAGCACGAGATTTCATCATCATCTGCGCACTCGGAGAAAAGTCCACCACTACAGAGGCGCCGTGGGCCGTGTAAGGGCTGAGATTTGAGACTTTTGCCACTTGGCGTAGTGTGTGTTAGTTTATACATGCACCGGTTCCCCGTAAATCTCGCCATTAAATTGTGACAGAAGAAAATCTGATCGGTGAAAAGCGCTCTCGAAAGGGAGTGGAAATACGGATTTTTACAACCACTCAAGAGACCCTTTTTGCCATCATCTCACGCATCGCATGCACTCGCCATCGGATCGGTTGGACGCAGGACTCAATTGACAGTGTGTTTACCAGCGGAGTTGTGTTCTTCTCGTCGTTTTGCCCTCGCGTGCGTGACACAGTTTCGAGAAATCGACCTCCGCGGAGTCCCGAGGGTGGCTTTTCGCTGGGCTGTCACACTGTCGCGCCCCTTCACGATGTCGCGCAATGTGCCGAGCCTCCGTGACTAGGCCCGCAGCCTGGGACGTCTTGCAGAGCCGTGAGAGGAGTGCCGTGGCCAGGGCAGTGGATGGTGGTCTAGTGGACGAGCTCGCTCGTGTCCGGAAGTCGCGCAGTGTCGGAGGGAGTGTCGCTTGGGAACGGTGTGCCGGAGTCAGTCATGTGCTGGGTGATAGTGTGGAGCCTCACCTTGGCCCTACAGGCGACGTCGAAGTACGCCAGGGCGTCCCCGCCCGCGCCCAATAGCAGGCATCGGGATGAATCCACCCACTACGCCGGTAACCTGATGACAATCGGCCTCGATTCGGTGTCGATAGACGCTGCAGGAATCAATAAACGAGGTAATCAACATTAAAATGCCATCACAGTTGAATGCTCATCCCACAGAGAGATGCCCTGATTGCACACCCTTCGCAGCCCTCAAACCGGGCTTGCGGAGTGGAAAAACTGCTGAATGACACCCTCACATTTGACGATTCCAAATGTATCCCCTCAGCGACTCTCAGTGGCCCAGTTCCGCCGTGAGATTATGAATTGTGTGGGTCGGGACTGTGGGTCGATGAGGGATGCTGCATGCGGGCCGAGATACCGATGACTCTGGCGTTTTCGGGCCACCCCCTGCGCTTCATCATCCCTGCACAAATAATGCAATAAATCTACGCCGCGATCTCAATATTTTTCACCTGTACAGAATTGAAATGCGACTCCCTCGAGGGGATGTTCATTGCGCGGTGCTGTTGTTTTTGGGTCCTTTTTGACTTGCATTTCGTTTGAAATTGGTTTGCAGTTTTTGCTGAAAAATAATATTGCCAATTAATTCAAAATGAAAATATATTAACATGCAGAGAAACCAACTCCAATTAGGACAATAATCACGCTGATGAATTATATCATGCACACGCTCTTGTGCAGCACTTACAAAAAAAAGTATTCAATCCACCAACAAATATGAAATTTCGCCGAAAAACCCTTTGCATGAGTTGGGATTTTTAATATACTTTCGCGAAATCATCAAATTAATTCGAAATATTTCTCAGAACTGCAAATGAAGCTCCAATCCGGGCATAATTATAGGAAGAGTTTAATATAATGCATTGGACAACGCAAAAACTGTATTTATTCGTATGATACACGATTTCAATAGAAATTTAATTTGGTACATTTTATTATCTGCTCATTTTTACCCATTTGACATTATGTTCCGAAAAGTATTCACATGAAAATGCGCGAAAATCATCATGATGGGGTTGGTCTTAGTTTCCTGGGTAATTACAAGTACATATGAGCTCTGTAGGACTATAAGCGACAGTTATATGTTACGTAATTAGCTCTCGTAATTTGAGCGATTCATTTGTATCATTGGAAGGAAAATCAGGAGACTGGCTTTTTTCCCCTTTGACTGTGGATATCTGTGACAGATATGGGTTTCGTATGGCCGGCAAAAAGTCCCCCAATATCACATATCAAGGGAAAGGAATTATGATTAATTGGACTAGGAATGTGTATGGTGCTGCCAAATTGGGAAAGTTCTTGCAGAAATGCCAGTAAATTGTTTGGAGGTTGAAACTATATAGCGTCGGTTTGAAAATTTGAGAGATAGAGAGCAGCGGAAAATCGATAGATTGAAGTAGGTTTCTAAAAACAAGAATGCCTGAGAGGAGGAATTGGGAGCTTTTCACGCTACTCACAAGCTCAACATTTTCAAGCACTTCTGCCCTGAGTTAAATTAGGTATTTGTGTGTGCAAGTGCACACAGTGAGTTGTGTGTGAAGTGTTATTAAATTTTCTTCCCATCATCCACTCATGATTGTACCTATTTTGTCTTCGAAGTGCTGTGTGAGTGCACATAGTGAAATGTATGGGAGCTTTTCGTATGTTCCGGGGAATTACTGGGGGATAATACCCACACTCTCTCCATGGTTTGGGTGAATGCAAAGTTTTTGACCACTTGTGGTGCTTCAAAGTGAATAGAAATTCCCGTCCGCCCCTGAAAATATGACAAATCCTCGCATAGATTTTCGCAAAAGATATAAATACACCAGCAGGGAGTGCCGGATTTATTTGATTTGGAGGAACATTTACTTGTGCCCTCAGCGAAATTCCAGGACACAACATTTTTGAGTTGAATGAAATTTTCGCGTATGCCACTATGGCATGAGAATTTCATTTGCATTTTTTATGCATCCCAATAGAATTTTCATCGATTTGGAGGAAGCGAAAACGCTCAATTCATAGCACAACGGCTATGCGCACATGGAGCAAATGGCACAACTACCAAATATGACATCTAATAGAACAATGTTGTGGAAAATATTTCAATTAGTGAGCCATATCTATTGGACAAATATTCCTTTGCATTATTACATAGGGTGAATTCCTCCGGAGATGCCACTACAAATGTGGATGTTTGAAATGACTCGGGATCTTATATTTCAAAGTGTTTCGCCATTTCCCCATATGAGATGCTCTCATGTTTCAGTCCAACCTAAACATCATGATTCTGAAGACTTTATTGGACAGTAAATGGCGAACGATAAGTATCAAATTTTGAGATATTTATCGCCATTCCTTCGCGATAACCATCCGCGTACATACGTACGCTTCAACCCTCCAGTCGTATTTCGCCACTCACCCTAAATACGCCACAATGACGTCTTATAAATTGAGAAGAAATTGCCCTAAATTTTATCGTATTGACCATTAACATCAACGAGAAGTGAGTCAATGCTGTGTGGGTATTTCGGTGGAAAAAGAGGAGAGCTTTAGGATACATCAAAGTGGATTTCTTTTAGTGGTGCTCATGCTTCAACTTGCTCCGTCAGCCTTCTTCTGGCCACCTAAAAGTATTTCAAATTATATGGGTTATAAACTGGAGAAGATGCAGGAGTGAAGTTTGTGGAAACATTGCGAAAATGTGACTTTCACTGGGAGAATATGTGCATTCCTCACATCCAATTTCGGTGTGTTTATTGAGGCATGGTCTCAATCAATCTCGATAGTGTGGAAGTAAAGTATCCTGTTAATAAATATTTCACAAACAATTCCACAAGTTTGCCTGTGTGGCGAATAACTTCCTTGCTGGGAATTAAACAACAAAAGCATGACTTTTCGTTGGGGTGATGAACTCAATGTGATATCCCTGCATCTCTGTCCATATCTCGGGTGTTTCATTAGAGAAATACGACAGTTGTATCGAATTCACCTTTGGCTGTTTATTCAGTATTGCTCCATTTGTCCCTGTGCTCGTCGGCCGGAGTGTGTCCAGTGCGCTCTCCCCTCGTGCTTATGACATCCCCAGAGCCGAAGGGTCATGTAATCCAATTATATTTTCGTCCATTCGCCAGTGCCATCGACTTGTTCGCATGATCAGTGTGCGTCTTGACCCCATTTCCGTCAAGGCGTCAACTGGCAGCACATCCCTGCGTCCGACCCCCTTGTTTATACGCTCCAATTCAGTCCGGTGATTTTCAGCAACAACCTCCGCTCGCCCGGTGCTGAGGGCGAATATTATAAGGAATAATGGTGGCACTCCATAAATTTCCAGCAGTGGCAGAAAGTGAGAATTAGGGAATTAGATTATCCTCACGACATGGACTCGTACCTTTGCTCCTTATTGCCGGGGAGGCGCACTCACACGGACCCCCTGATTAGTGCACAGAGAGAGAGAGAGTGGCGTATTTATTTTGACTTTTATGAACCATTTACAGATTTATGAACACGTCGGTGGGTTGAAACACCTCACTCAAGCAGAAAAACACCCGTAAATTAATTCCATTAGTCTGCATTTTATTATTATACACAATCTCCACCATAATGGCAAGTACATAAAAATCTCACCGCTGTCATGTCCTCATTCCGCGCCGCCAAATCCCGCAAAACCCGGTCCACGGACGTCCTTCATACCTCCACGGTCACCCCAGGCCCGAGCCCAGTGTGGCGGGTGCCAAGACAAATTGCAAAAGCGTCATCCGCACGGAAATTCACGGGATTTCGCGCATTTGGAAGGTCGCGCAGTAAAAATAGCCCTCCGCCAGAGTCTCTTGGCGCTGCTCCTGAGC